CCCCCCAGTTCCCCTGCACAGAGAGCTTTCATAAGGCCCCTTCAGTCAGTGCTGTGTTCTTCCTTTCTAGTCAAACACTCTGGACAACATCGCCTACATCATGCCTGGACTCTGACAGCTAAGGATTCTGGGACACATATTCGCCCTGCCCCCTTGCTGGCTCCCGTGGACGTGGACTCTTCTAGCACCCTTTGCTGGCTTTTGGGTGTAGGTTTTAATGTTTTTAATACGTGTACCATATATACATAGGATTGTAACTACCTACTTTTAACCATTTTATGGAACGTTGAAGGCTCAGCCAAGGGGAGCCTCGGCTTACACGTGGGTTTGGGTTTTTCATTTTGTTTTGCTTTTCTTTTCTTCGGTGGTGGATCAATCTGCCTTAAAATCACAGAAACGTGGGGGCCTGGGGGGGTGTTCTGGGCACCGAAGGCACCTCTTTTATGGACAGATAAAACATGGTGGTTTTGTTCCAAGCCGAGTGTTGTCCCCCAGACCCGTCATTGACCGTTTGCCTTATCTATCTTGCAGTCTGAAGTGTACTAGGAAAAAAGGGGATGGGGAGAGGCGAGAGAAAACACAAATCCTTTCAACTCGAGGCGACCATCTCCGCTTCACTCCTAGGTGGGAGATGACAAATCATCTCCATCCGGAGGGAGAGAACAGGCTTAGGCAAGGGGTAACTGCCCTTGGTCCCATCGTTAGTACAGATGGAGGCCGAGCACGTAGGAGAGCCCCAGCCCCTGGGCGTCCCTCGGTGGACTGGTGCCAGAGCTCTTCCTTGAACCGCACTTACTCGGATACTGTGGCAGAGGGTTGGCGGCTCCAGGGCTGGAATCCGGACTCATTGTGCCACGGAGGCCTCCTGAGGGTCACTGCTTCAGGTGCTCCATGGCAGGAGAAGACATCCGCCTGCTCAGCGTGGCTCTCCCTGGCGGGCCCACCTTCTGAGCTCTCCTAGCGTGTGAGTGCTGAGCACTCTGCCCTCTGCTCGCAAGGGAGCTGCAGGAACGCACTTGAGTCTTAGGTAGTTTTGTATATGTGTGTGTGTGTCTGTGTGCGTGTGCGTTTTAATCATGTGTATTTAACTCTTTAAAATCTGTTAGTTCTTAATTTATCCTGTAAATTTCTGTATATATAATTTAATAACAAAAAACCTCCACCAGCAGCAGCACGTGGAAGATTCAGATTTGTTAGATTTGTTCCTTTTCCCATCCCCCCCCCCCCCCCCCCCCCGGGCTGCCCTGGAAACCCTAACACACCTGTAGCTTGAGGCATTTCTTGACAAAGAAGAATCATTCCTTCAGGATTCTGACTCCTCATGGAAAGATGTGTGGGCTGTGCTGAAGATGAAGGGCTAAGCTCTGTGTGTGTGTGTGTGTGTGTGTGTGTGTGTGTGTGTGCGCGCGCGCGCGCGCGTGTGTGTGCGCATGTGTGACCATGCCTTCTTAGCTTCATTTCCATACAGCCAGAATAATTTCACTTTCTCGTAGGAGAGAAAGCAGTTGAAGTTTGGGGGCAGGGGGGGCTGCTGGAGTTAGGTCTGGCCTCTGTGATCTGGCTCCTCTCCCTGGGCTCCAGCCCAGCAAGTTCAGAGGAAATTCTTGGGGAGCCTCTGAGGCTCCCCTCCCCCATCACATAGCCATCACATCACCAAGCTCAGCTTTAGGACAGTCACTGGGAGCTGTATGCGCATCCCCTCACCACTCAAAGCTGCTGTGTGGCTTAACCGAAAAACGGGGAGGAAAGGGAAGAGATGGGAAGCAGCGGGGTTGGCCTCTTGACCCAAAGCTTTGTTGCACACCAGTAAAAGCTTCCATTTGGACAGGGAGGGAACGCTGAGACTTGGACCCAGAACCAGACAAGGTTCCTTCTAAGTTTGCCATTTATAGAGTAAGGAAATTCCGATGTGGGCCTATTCTTTGTTTTTGTTTTGTTTTCAAAACCGAACCCTATTGTATTTGTATTTAAAATTTGTACACATTTGTATAATAATCTGTACCTTGTGGCATTTGGTACTATTAGAGGGAAATCTTTGGATTCAGACCTACTTCCAGTTTTTATATCATTGCTTTGGTTTGGTTTTTTAAACAAATCCTAGTGGTTTGGTCCAAATCCCATTAAAGTTGTATAAAGAAATAAAATTTTGTACTTATATATTAAAAAAAAAAACCCACATTTTTAATATCTGGAGTTCTGTCTCATCTGTTTTCCCTGTGCTACCAAGCAATAGGTGTTAGACCCTTTTTCAGAACTCATACCACACCCCACTTCTCTTTCCCACTGAGAATTCCGTCCTCTTTTTCTAATAGAATGTCATCCCTGGCCATTTTCCTGACACCCCCCCCCCGCCTGTATGTCAGGTTTCACATTGTGAGAATACTTGTTTCTCCTGTCCATGTGCCAAGGACAGGGAATCGTAACAGTCTAGGGAAAATGTCCCTGCTTAGTAAAAACTCACTTTTTTTTCTAGTGCTTTACCAAGCACTTTACCCACAGCATGAATAAGGGAACGGAGGCTGATCTGCCCCGGTCAGTCACACAGCTAGTGTCAGGGCCAGAATCCAAACTGGGATCTTCTGACAGTCGCATTACTTGGCCTCTCTCTCCACATTAGTTTCCTCATCCCTAAAATGAGAGTTCTGCATCATGACCTGTGAGGTCCTTTCCAGTTCGAGGGCCGTGATCCTGTTAACTCCCCAATGGGCCTCCTTTTCCACCTTCCCCTGTTGCTTCTCTTTATGCTGAATAGCTGGTTGGTGCAACTGGGGACCAAAGCATCCTGACGTTTGCAGAGCATCAGCTGCCTCATCCCCTCCCCAGGCCTGTGGCTGGCAGAAGGTCCCTGGTGACTTCATTGAGAGACTGCAGCATTAGGCAGTGATTAGCGTCTACATGTGGCCCAGTCTTGGCCCATCCCAGATGGCTTCAGGGAACCTCCCTTCCTCATCTTTCAGTGTTCATGCTCATGGATTTCTTTCTCTCCCCATAATGGGAATATTGAGATTTGTCTAAAAAGCTGAAAATGCTGGACATGAACATTACTCATGGTCACAACAGAGTAGAGATAACACAAGGCCGAGGGGAAGAGAAATTGTGTCTTCTATTGACTGGACCTATGATTTCCCTCCTATCAGTGCAAATCAGCACCTTCTCTGACACTTAATAGTCTTAAGAGAGTTATCTAGAGTCACAGCCAGGATATACCAAAGGCAAGATCTGAACCCAGGTCTTCCTATCTCTGAGGCTAGCTCCAACGACTAAATAATACTGCCTCCCGTGCCTTTGTCAAGGCTTAAAATTGAATTTATCTCATTAAGCCCCTTCCGTGTATCTTCAAGGCCACAAGGACAGTCCCTACCCTCAAAGAGCTAACATTCTACCAGAGGCAGGGTGTAATGTGCAGAAATAAATACAAAGCATTTGATTAGAGAGGCCTATAGAGGGAGCAGCCGAACTGTGCTTGTCCTTTGAAACAAGCTGGGAGTTCTAAAGGTCTAGGCCAAGGGAGTGTATTCCAGGCGTAGGAGACCACCTCACGTAGCCATGGGAGGGATGTTTGGGACTGGGGAGCAGGACTGGGCAACTGGTACAAAGAGAGAGGAAACCATAGACATAGAAAGTCATCTAGGGGAGAAGCTGATCATGGAGGGATCCTTGCTTGAATGATTTCCTTCCCCAGTATCTCCATGAGTGACTGTGGAAACTAGCCAGGATTCATTAATCAAACAATAAATGTGTGTAGACCACCTTGCTGGGCTCTAGCTGGGAAGAAGAAGGTTTGGATCAGACTGTCTTTCCTCTGCCCTCGTGGAACGTACAGGGTAGCAGAGGGATGTCTACACACAGCCAGACACTAGGTCAAATGAATTCAAGAGTTGTAGGAAGTTTGTCATCAGAGGCCCAAGGGGAAAGAGGGCTGCTGACTTCCTTGGTTTTAAGTCCTGCGATCTCCCATGTTCGGCTCTGAGCTCTTTGAGACAAGGGACTATGTCACTCTTTCTTCATATCCCCAGCATTTAGCATAGTGCCAGGCACACAAACACCTAATAAATGCTTGTTGACATTACCACTTGTGGAATCCTGGTTTCCTTCAAAACTCAGTTCATGCATCGAGTCTGGGAAGCCTTTTCTGATCCGCTCAGTGGTAGCCTGCTCCATCCCTAAAGGACCTCACATTCATTTTGTATGTATTCTGCATAAATACTTGTGAGTCCTTGTGTCTTCCGCCCACACACCCCCATTAGAATGTAAGCTTTGTCTTTCCCCTTGGTCTCTATCCTGAGTGCCAAGTACAGGGACTCCCTAGAACATTGGAGGTTTCATAAATGCCTTATGATTGATTAATTGATCCTCTGGTCCCACTCCATTCCCACCCCTCAGCTTATAAGTGAATGACTTGCCCAGGGTTGTCTACAAGTGGCATCTAAGCCAGGGCTCTATCTACCATGCTGCCTCCTCCTCATGTCCTTGAAGGTTTCTGGTGCTGTCTTGAGTGACTGTTTTGTGAGTGGTGCTATCGAAATAGGGAAACAGAGCCAGTCACTTGATGAGGACAAGGGTAACAGAAAGCAGGCCCCTCACACCGTGGACCTGGTATGCCCAAAATTTTAAAAGGAACACCTTTACTCATTTGGTCACTCCTACGTGGAGGACTTGTGGAAAGACAGAGGCAGGAATTCAATCAGTCATCATTTATCAAGTGCCTACTGTATGCCAGACACTGTCCTAAGCCCTGGAGATACAAAAAGAGGCAAAAAAAAACAGTCTCTGCCCTCAAGGAGCTTACAATCTAATGGAATTGCCCAGCATGTTTAAAAAAAGAGTTGGGGCAGCTGAGTGGCTCAGTGGATAGAGCACCAGTCCTGGAGTCAGGAGGACCTGAGTTCAAATCCAGCCTCAGACACTTACTAGCTAGCTGTGTGACCCTGGGCAAGTTACTTAACCCCCATTGCCTCCAAAATAAATAAGTTTCAATCTTATCAGTGGATGGAATACCCAGACCAAGATCCCAGGCCAGCTTAAGTATTGGAAGACATCAAGCTTAGAGAGGGAAGGGCAGCCTTCAGTCCTGAAGAGCTCTTCACTCTAGTCTACTGAGAGAGTCCAAGAACTAGGAGATCTGGGTTCAAGTGCTGACTGCCACATCCTAGTGGTGTGATCTTCAGCAAATCCTTACTCTCCTGTGACCCTCTCTTCTCTCTTCATCTGTGAAAAGTAGAATGGAAAAAGGCAAGAAGCCACCTGGGTGCCCACTGGAGGGATGGCTAAAAGAAATCGTAGTGTGTGATTAGATGGGAACATTACTTCACAGGAAGAAAAAGATGCAAAGACAGCTAATCAATGATGCCAAGAGAGAAAGCAGAAGCCCACAGATCGGTGGAGACAGACTTTGGTAGAGGGAGAGAACACTAAACTGAAAACAGAGCCAACCACGTTGTAGCCGCTTGTTCTAAACTCAGTGCCTGTGGTCACTGCCCCTTCTGCCCAGCAAGGGCGCCAGCTCTTTTTATCACCGCTTTCTATCCTCATTTTCCTTGTCTAGAGCAGGGGTTGACAAAGTGAGGCCTGTTTTTGTGTGAACCTAAGGATGGTTTTTGGCCCCTGGACTGTCATTTGCCAACCCCCGGTCTGCTGGTTTGGGGCATTGTAAACTTAGCACTGAAAGGGACCTCAGGAGGCCTTCTGGTCCAGGCTTGCCCAGGGTCACCAATAATATGCATCAGAGGCTGTATTTGAACCCAGGCCCTGTGACTCCAGAACAGGGGCTCCTTCCACTGCCCCCCCCCATTGTCCTCTCAAAGGAGGCGTGTTTTCTTGTTTTTATTTTGAGTTGGGTGGTTGATGGGTTATATGTTAATTTTGTGATTTCTCGGGGAGTTCCGTTGTACTTCTGGGGATTTTTCTGGGTCGGTCTTTGCTTCTCATACATCCATTTAAACACTTCTGTTGATGGAAAGTAAAGCAAAATTAATCAGTGAAATGAATGGGGCTGAACTTGGACATCTCTAAAATCCTGTGGTTTTTGCACATTGTTCCCGTCCTCCCCTGAACCAGAGAAATGGGAGAAGGCTGCCCCACACCTCCTTCCTGGCCATGCAAAGGACTTGGACAAATGACTTAGCAAGCCCCCATTAGGATGTGACTTATTTTTCTATCTGCATCCCCATGCTTGGCACAGTTCATTCATTCATTCATCTCTGGGTTTCAGTTTCCCCCTCTAACAACGCCTGCCTGCCTCATGGAGTCAAGCATATGGTATTATGGAAAGAGTCCTTAAAAGGGAGTCAGAAGATTTGAATCTGGGTCTCCTCTGTGCTACTCATTAGCTGACTGGGCGACTTTTGTCAACCTCTCGACCTCAGTGTCCTCATCTGTAAATTAAGGGCGTGGGGAGCTCCCTTTCAACTCTTGACAGCTCACACATATAGTGCATTAACGTTGGCAAGGCACTTTCCTGACAATTATCCTCCAAGTTAGATGGTTGGTGCAAGTATTATCCCCACTTTACAGATGAGGTAGGGAGTCTCAGAAAGGTTATCATTTGTCTGTGGTCACACAGCTGGTAAAGGGATACACCAGATCATTACTGAAGCCCCTTTAATGGCTGTTGTGAGCATTAGATATGGATGGGAAAGCACTTTGAAAACTCTAAGGCCTATGCAAATGTGAGGCCCAGATCTTTCCTGATTTGTCCCAATAACTCTGTATATATTTTTATTCACTTGTCTGTGTATATTCTGTCCCTCAGTAGAATGTAAGCCCCTTGAGGGCAAACAATGCTGCCTTTTTTTATTTGTATCCCCAGGACCTGGCACATGCAGGTATTTAATAAATGCTTGTTGAATTGAATTGAACCATAACAGCAACTAATATTTTTATAGCACTTTAAGGTTTCCTCTGAGGCCTGAACAGATTTCAATTTCTATTAAGATCTTTTTTTTAAAAATTGCATTATTGTAATCAATTAAAAGTTAAACACCTAATAATAATAAAGAAAACTTGTATTTTTATGATTCTTTTGGGTTTATGGTGTCTTCCTAACAACTCTGAGACAGCCAGTAACAGTGTAATTATCTCCATTTTACTAAATGAGGAAATAGGCTTAGAGAAGTCCGACATCTAATAAAATAACTTGAAGCTGGCCCACCTGATTTCCATCTTGAAAGGGCAGCACCTTGCCAAGTGATCCCCTGTCCCAAGGGATGTCCAATTCCTGTCTTTTCCTTCTTTTTAAGGAGTGGTCAGATAGGCTTGTTGAAAAGGACCCAGTGGGAAGAAGCAATTCCACTGCTGGCAGGGACCACTGGTGGTGTTTTGGAAAAGCAATGAATGGTCTAATTGTTCTAGTCCTTACAGGAAGGGTGGGGGAGGATGACTTCACAGCTAGAGCCTAAACCGCCTATGTAATTTTACCAGTGCTGACAATAACAGAAAAACCAGTCCAACACTAAGCCATTTGAAGTGTCTCTGTTCTCCACTTAATTATTCAAAGACATCTCCTTTTACAGACAGAAACCGAGACAGGGAGAGGGAGATGGACTTACCCAGGGTCACATAGCAAGTTAGCAGAAAAGTTAGGATGACAGCCTAGGTCACATGACCACTTCCCTAATCTGGGCCTCAGTTTACCCATCTGTATGAGGCAGGGAGAGCTAGAAGCTCCATAAAGTCCCTAAAAGAGACACTGGACACTTCTGTTTCTGGGAGCCAAGATGGCAGAATAAGAGGTGAGTCTCTCTTGCCCTCCCCTATTAACCCCTGAAAGCTCAGAAAATATCACCCCAGGAAAAACCCTGGAACAGCTGAACCAGAAGAAAGGTGGGGTGCAGCAGTCCAATAGCCCAGGTAGCTTGAGGAATTAACTGGAAAGGCCCCTCTTACCTTGGGGGAAGGGGAGCAGTACAGAATGGGAGGCATCCCAGCAAGCTAGTGGAAAGCCCCACCTCAGCATACCGGGAAGAGATCCTAAGGCACACACCAACACCTGGACCCCCCAGTGCCTCATTGAGGGCGGGGCAGCTGGTGGAAACCAGCTCAGAAAACCACCAGGTACCTAGGCATTCTACAGCAACCGGCTCTCCCAGTGCCTCAGCAAAACTAAGGGAAGCAGCGCTCCAAGGGGCCCCAGGCAGATAAACACCCTGCAACATCCATCTGAAAGGAGCTGAAGAAAGCAAAAGGAAGGAAAGGCCTGGGTGAGCAGGAAATCTCCAGGAGCCATACTACCCAATCCTACCCCTAGAGTTCCAGTGTTGTTGATTCCAGCCCAACACCAGGTAAGCTGCCAGAACCCTACAGCCCCAAGAAACTTGGGTCAGTGCCCTCTGCTCCCCAGCAGGAGACCACAGTGTCTTTAAAGACCAGGAAATAAGCAAACACCATGAGCAAAAAGAAACATACGATCAATTCTTATTATGGGAACAGTGAAGATCGAGGCAGAAATTCAGAAGAGGACAACATCGTCAACAAACCCACATCTGGAACCTCGAAAGGGAATATGAACTGGTCTGAAGCCCAAAATCCTTCTTAGAAGAGCTCAGGAAGGATTTTAAAAGTCAAATGAGAGAGGTAGAAGAAAAAATGGGAAAATAAATGAGAGGTATGCAAGAGAGAGTCAATAGCTTGGAAAAGGAAGGACAAAAATTAACTGTAGAAAACAAGTCCTTAAAAAATACAATTGGCCAACTGGAAAAAAAGTACCCTGAAGAAAACAAGTCCCTAAAAAATAAAATTGGCTAACTGGAAAAAAAAGTACACTGAAGAAAACAAGTCCCTAAAAAATAAAATTGGCCAAATGGGGAAGGACGTACAAAATCTAATAGAAGAAAACAATTTGTTAAAAACTAGAATTGAGCAAATGGAAGCTAATGACTCTGCGAGAGAGCAAGAATCAGTCTAACAAAAACAAAAGAATGAAAAAATAGATGAAAACGTAAAATACCTCACTGGTAAAACAACTGACCTGGAAAATAGATCCAGGAGAAACAATTTAAAAATTATTGGTCTACCTCAAAATCACAATGAAAAAAGGAGTCTGGGCAGTATCTTTCAGGAAATCATAAAGGAAAACTGCCCTGAGGTCCTAGAAAGAATCCACCAATCACCTCCTGAAAGAGATCCCAAATTGAAAACACCAAGGAATATAGTAGCCAAATTCCAAAATTACCAGATCAAAGAGAAAATACTGCAAGCAGCCAGAAAGAAAGAATTTAAATATCATGGAACCACAATCAGGATTACACAGGACCTTGCAACTTTTACATTAAAAGACCGTAGGGCATGGAATATGATATTCCATAAGGCAAAGGAGCTTGGATTACAACCAAGGATCAACTACCCATCGAAAATGAGTATGATCTTTGAGGAGAGGAGATGGATATTCAATGCAATAGGGGACTTCCAAACCTTCCTGATAAAAAGACTGGAGCTCAACAGAAAATTTGATCTTCAAATACAAGACTCAAGAGAGACATAAAAAGGTAAACTGACAGAAAGAAACATGTTATTAATAAGGGCAAACTGTTTACATCCCTACAAGGGAAGATGACACTTGTAACTCTTGAGAACTGTTTATTACACCATGTTAAAGGGGTATACATAAAGGGGGTGGGTATAAATTGACTTTGATATAATGATGAAAAAAATCTAATTAAGTGTGTTAAATGGATCCAAGTAAGTGAATTAGTCTGATCTAACTAAGAAAATGTATTGAGAAAGGAGGAGACAGACAAGGGTAAATTACATCACAGGAAAAGACACAAAAACCTATTACAGCAGAGGGAAAGAAGGGAGGGAGATGAGCATTGTTTGAACATTACTCTCATCAGATTTGGCTCAAGAAGGGAATAACATAATCAGTTAGGTATAGAAATCTAACATGCCCTGTAGGCAGTAGGAGGGAAAAGGGGAAAGAAAAGGGAGGGGGCTAATAGAAGGGAGGTGGGACTGAGGGAGGTGGTGGTCAAAAGCAAAACATTAGTGAGGAGGGAAAAGGAGAAAAAAAGCATAAACGGGGAGAAAAGGATGAAAAGACACAGATAGTAATCATAATTATGAATGTGATATATGAATGTAATGGAATACTATTTATTGTGCTATAAGAAATGATGAACAGGGAGACTTCAGATAAACCTGGAAAGACTTGTATGGTCTGATGCTGAGTGAAGTGAGCAGAACCAGGAGAATGTTGTACAGTAACAGCCATGTTGTGCGATGACTAATACTGATAATCTTAGCAATGCAAGGATCTAAGACATCTCCAAAGGTCTCATGATGGAAAATGCTATCCACAAAGAAGAAAGAACTATGGAGTCTGAATACAGATCAAAGCATACTATTTGCTATGTTTTTTCTCTTGTTGTTTTGTTTCCTCTTTCTTGTGGTTCCTCCTACAGGTTCTAATTCTTACTTACAACATCACTAATGTGAAAATATGTTTAATAGGAATGTACATGTATAGCCTGTATTAGATTGTGCGTCGTCTTGGGGAGGGAGGGAGGGAGGGGGAGAAAAATTTACAACTCAAAAGCTTATGGAAGTGATTGTTGATAAATCAAAATAAATTAATTAAAAAAAAAAACAGACACTGGAATACCAAGGAGCCAACTAACAGAGAAGGGCTACTTCAGAGGGCATGAGTGACACGTCCACATGGGGCAGGGTGGAAAGAATCCCACAGTGTCAGACAGGGAAGGGACCTTGGGGATCATGGCATCCAGCCCTCGAGAGTCAAGTGGAGCCCATGAGCATTTATTGAGCGCCCGCTGTGTGTCAGGCATCTCGGCAATGACAATACTGAGATCCCCAGATGTGGGGGCAGGGCCTGCACCAGGTCCTACAAGGTCATAGGAGTTTGCTTGTTGTCTCCTCGTCCCTTTTGGATTGGGAGCTCCTTGAGGGTAGGGGCTGCAGCTGCCTTTCTTTGTATCCACACTGTGCCTGGCACACAGTAGGCACTTAATAAATGTTTACTGACCAACTGACTTCAGCAGGGAGTGGGAGGGAACCCAGGTTTCCTGATTCCAAGCCCATCCCTTTCCATTCTCCATTCTCAGCTCTTTTGTCCCTCCCCCTCTCCTGACCTTTGATCATACAGAGAAACTAAGGCAAGAAGGGCCCTGGGGAGGACCTAGTCAGGCTCCTTTTATTCTTTACAGGTGAGGAAACCGAGCCCCATGGTGGCAAGCCAGGACGAGGCCCTTGATCCTCCCTACAAAGCACCAGAGGTCCTCACGATTCCAAAAATCCAGGCCAAGGGGCCCATTGTACAGATAAGCAAACTGAGGCTGGGAGGCAGCCAGGAAGCCACTTGCTGGGTGGCGACGGGCAAGTCCCACCCCCTCTCTGGGCTTGAACAGTAAAATGAGAGAGTGGGGCTACATGAGGAGGCTGGTCCCTTCCAACTGCAGATCTCCGAGTCTAGGGTGGAGGAAGGGAGGCAGGGGGTTGCCCTCGATGACCTCTGACATTCTATGGAGGAAGGTGTTGGCTGGCAAGGGCTCAGCAAGAGTCAGTGGCACTGTGACGACACGACGCCGACGCTCCAGCTGAGAAGGCCACACCCCTGGCTCCGCCTCGTGTCTGTGATTGGCACACCAAGGGGCGGGGCCTGCGGTCACGCCCCCGGCCGGCTGCTCCAAGGGGGCGGGTCACGTGACGACTCCGAGGCCGTGGCAGTTGCTGTCAGCTGATCCCTTGGGCTCGGAGGGGTGGCGGCGGCGACCATGGACTTTCTCCTGGGGAACCCGTTCAGCTCCCCTGTGGGGCAGCGCATCGGTAAGTGCCCCGTGCGTCCCAGCCCCCCCAGCTCCGGCCTCCGCCACCTGGGGACCCCTCGGGCTCGAAGCCCCAGATCTAGGGTACTCAGGGGATCCTCCCCCCTCTGTCTCCCGAGAGCGCAGAGTGACAACGTCCGCGAACCAATAGAAAGCGTCTCTGCGCTGACTGGCGGGGGCTCCGACCTATAAGCTGCGTGGGGGGCGGGCTCCGGAGGCCGCGGTTTATCCAATCGGCACCTGAGGAGGTCCCCGGGAGCCGGGCAGAAAGTTTTCTCTCTTAAAGGGCCCGCGGCGTCCCGGGGCTCCCGGGGCTCCTGGGGCTCTGGACGCTTGAGTGGGGCTGGCACCAAGGGTCTGCCGCTGGGACAAGGGCGTCGGGAGCGGGAGAGCTGGCGCTGAAAGGGACCCTAGAAGCAGCGTGTTCCGAGGGAAAGAGCCTCCGAAGGCAGAGGATCTGGGTTCAAATTCTGCCCAGGACACGTACGACCCGGGTGACCCTGGGCAAGTCCGGTCACCTCCCTGAGCCTCAGTTTCCTTATATGCAGAATGAGGGAGAGTTGGACTGAGTGCCCCCGGAGGGTCTTTCCAGCTTTTCTGTGTAACTTCCCCTCTCCGGGCCTCAGTTTCTCATCTGTAAAATGGGGATTCAATTCCGCGGACATGAATTGGTCAGTAAGCATCCATGTAGCTCCTCTGTGTGCCGGGCACTGCGCTCAGCACCGGGGCATTTGTATCCCGGAGGGCTCACGAGCTCCTGGGGGTGACGGTGTGCAAAGCAGACCTCTAGGAAGAGGAGGCATCAAGCACTTAGGCTCCCCGCTGCGCCAGGCACTAGGCTGGGGAAACAAAGTGCTCGTCTTCTCTGTGCCCCGCACACAGTGGCGCTTAGTAAGTGTTGGCTGACTGGCCCAGAGTGACTGCCTTTGTGCAGGCAGACCAGCACTGTGGGAATCCTGCCCCTGGCCACTTCTTACCTTGGTGTGTGGGTCCCTTCACCCCCTCCTCTTCATCTGTAAAATCTGCAGATTAGACCGGCTAGCCCCTGGGCCCCCAGTAGTTTTGGTCCTCGGAATGAAGTCAGCTATTACTGTGTGCTAAGCACTTTTTGGTGCCTTGGGGATAAAATTACAAAAGTCTAGCTGCCCTGCCCTTGAGAAGCTTGTGTTCTATTGAGGGGAGACCACACACTTAGGGGAATAGTGGGGAAGGGGCCCTGAAAGTGATCTGAGAAGTCACTCGGATGGTGAATGGAGCAATCGATTGACTTATCATGTGTACACAGTGAGTGTCATATATATGCAGATGAATGAAAAACAGTATGAAGGGGGGGAAATGAATCAGGGAGGGCTTCACGGAGGAGGTGGCACAAAGCTGAGCCTTGAAGGAAAAAAGATTCAGCAAGATGGACAGGGGCAGGTAGGCAGGCGGCTGTTGTAGGAAGGGAATGAGGCTTATGGGAATCCCCTGGCGCCAAGCACCCGGACCAGCGAGTGGCCTGGTCAGTCCTGTTTGTCAGGAATGAAGAGGCTGGTGAGCGCTGGCCGGAGCCTAATTGTGGAGGCCATCGAAGCCAGGCTCAGGAGGAAGCCACCAAAGGTGTCTGAGCATCTCTGAATGACTTGGGAAGACCCGAGTCTGGAGGGTTATCTTGGTGGCTGTTTGTCCAGTGATCAGTCAGTCAGTCAGTCAACAGCTATTTTAAATGCTTTCTCTGTGCCAGACACTGTGGGAGGTACTGGAGATACAGAGAGAGGAAAAAGCAGGGCCCCTGCTCTCAGGGAGCTCCCATTCTAATGGAGGAAATGGTAAGGAGGTGACTGCATCTGAAATGGGTACAGAGTAGAGGGGAAGTAATTAATCTCAGAAAAAAAGGCTGCAGGGACAGGAAAGGCCTTTTGAAGAAGATAGGATTTGAACTGAGTCTTGAAGGAAGCCAGGGAAGCAAAGAGCAGAAGTAAAGAAAGAGAGGGTTCCAGGCATGGGGCACAGCCAGTGCAAAGGCCTGGAGGTAGGAGATAGGGTTTTGTGTTCTGGGAACAGCAAGACCAGCATAGAGGAGGAGGAAAGTGTAAGAAGGCTGGAATGGTGTGAAGGGCCTTATTTTCTCTTTGATCCTGGAGGTAATAAGGATGCCTCTGGAGGAGAGGGGGCAGTTACATGGTCACGTCTGGGAGAGGGGGGAGGGGACAGCTGGGGATACTATCTACAGGCCTGCTTAACAAGACTGTGCTAAATGAGGATCAAATAAGACTCAGATGGCCGCTGGATGACTCAGTGGGTAGAATACAAATTCAAAGGCTTTGAGTCCTGTGTGACGCTAGGTCTGCCTCAGTTTCCCCAACTGGAAAGTGGGAATGATAACAGCACCTACCTCCCAAGTTTGTTGTGAGGATCTGACTCCCTCCCCCCAATCCCTCCCCCAGAGGCATCTTCCAGTGAGTGGGAGTGCTCATCTTAGAACCAGAAAGACTCTGGCCCAGGCAGGGTGGCCTTGCAGACTAAAGGCCTTGAGGTCCTTTACAGCTCTAAATGTCTGAGCTTCTGATTTCACCCAAGCGAATTCCACATCTCTGGAATTCCAGCCTTTGCGGTCAGAAGAGCTGTGTTCTCAGATTCCTCCCAGGGCAGGGTGATCCCAACTTTAGACGTGGCCGGGGCTCCTGGAAGGCCACCTGACCATGAGTCAGGCTCTGGGCTGGAGAGAGAGTGAATGCCTGTGGCTCCTGGCTCTTAAACACCCCCCTCAGCAGTCCCAGACAGCCCCACTTTCACTTCTGGCTGAGATTGGAGCTTCCCTCATTGATAATATAATGTCTGGCCTTTTATAGGTAAGAGGCATCTGCCAGAGATTTCTGGAGAAAATTCACCTTTCTGAGTTAACAACCATTCAGAGAATCAGTCTGAAGGCATTCGTGAAGTGTTTACTTCCTATGTACCAGGCGTTTTGCTGAGAGCACTTAGAGAAAGCAAAAACAATCCCTGCCCCCCAGGAAGCCAAGGTTTGTCAGAGGCAGAAATGAGGAGGGATGGCATTCCAGGCGGGGGGTACCACCAGGACAAAGGCTTGACTTGGGGGAGATAGAGCATGATGTATGAAAGACAGCAGCTCCTCCGCTAGGGTAGGAGACTGTGGAGGAGAATAAACTGGGCAGGGCTTTCACTGCCAGCTGGGCACAACAGTGCTTCCAAGGAAGTCTTACAGATGTTGGCTCCATTTTACAGATGAGTGAACTGAGGCCTAAAACGAAATCATTTCCTCTTCATCATGTAGCTAGTAAGTGTCAAAGGCAGGATTTGAACCCAGCTCTCTCCTCACTCCTTCTCCAGCTCCCTGACTTGTGCCAGGATGCTTCTGGGATGTAACAAGTTTTCCTGAGGGTCTGCATTTCTCTGCATTAACCAAAAGGTGCAGGGGGTCGAGGAAGGCTTGTTAGCCTGAGCTGCTCCCATTCTCTCCCAGCCATCAGAGCATCTTGGCAGCGCTGGAAGGGGCCTGGCAGGTCCTTTGTCTGGCCCTCTCATCCTCACTGGCACACAGTAGGGAACCGGTGACTTAGCCGAGGTCCCAAGTCAGGGGCAGACCCAGCAAGAGATGGCCCAAGCAGGCCATCCGTCCTCCCTACCCAGTGGCCAGCCACCTTTGACATCGACCCATACCTCAGAGGAGACTGAAGAAATAGGCATAACTTTAGCCCTCTGAGGTTTATACCAGCTTTGTGGGCGAGAGAATACTTAGTATTATGCCCATTTCATAGAGAAGAAAACTGAAGCTCAGTGGATGAATTGATGTGCCCAGGGCCACAAATCTAAAAGCACAGGACATATGAGTCCATGCTAACCCAGTGTTCTGCACATAGTGGGCCTAAAAGTCCTTACCAACCAAGTGTTCTGCACATAGTAGGTCCCTGAGAGGCATTTGTTGAATAGTCCGGTCATTCTGACGCTTCTCTTAGACAGAGGTAGAGTAAAACCACATGGCGCTAACCTAGGTTCACCCCGAATGCCTTCTGTTGGCCCACGACCATCTTCTTTGAGGGTAGAAGCCCAAATTTGCACCACAAGTGAAAAGATGCCTCCCCACCAGGCCCGAGGGCAGGATCTGTGGGCTCTGGAGTCCATCAGCCACAGGCAGAGCAGCGCAGAGCTAGTTCTAATGAGTTACTCTCGATGGGTCTGTGCTCATAAGGGAACAAGGATACTTGTATCCACTTCAGAATTGTTTCTTTTTATGCTCCTTTATTGGGCCACAATGGGCAGGCTTGAGCTCTGCATGGCTCCCCATCCCCTTCCCTGACAGATGACGGCTCTTCCAGAACCATGGGGTCCACGTGGCCCCCGAATGCCCTCATCCCTGCAGGCTGACAGATATAATTTAGATAATGCTAACCTTCCTGCTGCCTGTTCTTCTGTCTGTGGGCCCTTTCACCATGGCAACGGCCCAGTGGGAAAAGGTTTCCAGATTAATCGGTAATCATTTGTGGTTCCATCTGGTGGTTATCTAAGCATTTTCTAAGTACTGTCCAAGGACGGGTCCTGCTAGCACCAAAACATAGGGCAGGAGACAGCCTGAGGACAGACTACAGTTCAGGAATCCTGTTTCCCAGCTATGGGACCTCCCGGAGGATTGTGGGAGCTGAATAAACAGTGCATTTGTAGCTTCCACTTATATCATGGCCTCGTCCCAGCCCTCATTCTGCTCTGCGTCCTACCTGTGTGACTTTGGGCAGATCACTTACCTCTCTGTGCCTCAGCTTTCTCATCTGTGAAATGGGGCTAATAAAAGCATCTACCTCCCAGAGTGGCTGTGAGGGTCAAATGAAATGTTTGAAAAGAACTTTGCAAATATTAAAGAGCTTTATAAATGCCAGCTATTCTTACTACTTGCCAGTCCCCAACGCCGGGAAGTAGGTAGATGCTTTTAGTAGCCCCGTTTCACAGATGAGGAAGTTGAGGCACCGAGAGGCAAGTGACTGCCACCAGTCCTTCCCCGATCTAAAT